CTTTGACCACTTAACGCGATTACAGCCACACTCGACTGCCGACTTCGAACTTACGATGTCTTCATAAAAATTGCAAGAGGATTATTTCGAGTACCGAGGATCTGGGAAAAAGCTTCGATCTTTCGAAAAATGTGAAAAAAAATTCGTTTCGTGCTTTCGCCATAGTGTTTCCCTTTAAGTTATTAAACATCGGTCTTTTGGATTGTTTAGGTCAGACGTTGAGGGTAACTTGCGAACCACGCGCAAGTGAAACGATCTTTCGTGCTCGAATTTCACCCCCACCTGGATCGTTTCGACGGTATTTATCCGGCTTAAGCAAATACATATTGCAGAGGATGCTCTAGTGGGGCACACATGTACAGGGTGGCCAAGAAACAATACTCACTCCTACCAAACAACAAAATGAACTCACTACGAATTATTATTATCATTATTTCGCGTAAGACGAAAGACGCGAGAAATAAATTCATCGTGGTGCATTATTCGAGAGAAAAACTGTGGTTTCGTGGCACAAGCCCTCAGGATTATTTTCGAGGCCATTTCTTCATCGTCGAAGCTTTCTTAAATGGCGCTATAAATTTTTATTCGCGCGACCCGTCGTAGCTGAAATTTAGAGGTCGACGATCTACATCCACGCGGACTTCGAACTATTTAGCGACAGACAACATATTTCTTAATGGCTGGTCGGAATTACTGGCCGACTCGTTCGCACGGATTTATCAACCATAGATTTCTTTCTGCTGTGGAACTTTAGAAATGATCATTTATTACGATAGCCACGCGAGACAATATACAAGAATACTGAACTATGCTCGAACCTCGTACGTTTGACATCGAAATATTCGCAGCCACGCGTAGATTCTCGTATCGAACGCGTACGGTCGGCCATATCCGCTTCGAACGTGTTAATTTTAATACGACTCGCATCGCGAACTCGAAAATTCCGAAAATTTTAGAAAATTCCGCGACGTTGGAGAATAGAGCTCGCTCCGGCGGTCGTGGCGCGAATTAAAAAGCTGTTTCGCTTCTGTCAACTCGTTATTTACGTCGTAAATCATGCAAGAATGCATTCGAGATGTCCAGTCCTGGCGCCACAAAGAATGCAAAGCGATAGTATCGATCATCATTCTGAATATTTAACAACATTAAATGTGATGCTTCATATTTTCTCGGAGGCTATTTAAAGATTCTATATCCTTGAACTCTCGATCACAATCTTCAAATTCTTTCGCTCGAGATACATAAAAATTGATCGTTGGTTAATTTATATCGATAAAATATTATTACGAGAAAAGTAAAACTATTCAGTTCAGTGATACCAAGAATGTGCATTTGAATAATTTGTTTCGTACGAAGAATGGTATATACTTTAGCTGGAGAACGGTAAGGGACTGGTTGTTATTCCAGGCTTCAAAGCAAGGGAAATATTTAAAGCGTTCATGATAAATGCGACACCCTGTGTAGACTGAGAGGACGCACCTGAATAATGTTCCAGGACAGTGGGGGTTGACGTTTGTCGTGGCGGTGCCTAGCGTGCTGCTGTTCCGCCGACTACCCTAACGTAACCCCCTGCCCTGTCCCCTCTCTCCCTTTCGAAGCCCTGTTTCTGCTGCCCTCGGCCCGCCAGGACTCATAATTGTCGTCGTCCACGCTGGCATATCGCGAAAGCAACCGAGGGACACGAAAGTGGTTATGCGCATTCCTTTCCACCGTGGAGGAGCATCAGAGGCAGCCAAGTGGTGGGAGAGAGGACAGGTAATGGGGTGTAATAAGTAGCGATGGACTCAAGATATCCCATACTCGTGACAAAGGAACGATCCTCGAACCATAATACGAATCAAACCATCCGAGAATCCACCAAGATTTGGAACATTCGAGCAGAAAACAGAAACGTGCCAAACGTTCTTAAAAACAGCATTCGAACGATGAATACTTTAAAAATATTTGGTAGTTTAAACTTCGCTTAAAGAATGGATAAAAACTGCTCCAACTGTTAGAAGTTTGAGAAATGCGCGTATTCGCGGCGGGAATTGCTCGAAAACTCGCCACACAGTGAATTGAATACCCATCGCTAGTAATGAGGGTCGCGCGGGGAGGGGTGGACAAGGAGCACGGTAGATCGTCCCCCTGTGCATCGCAGCTGAATACTTGAATATTGATTAAGCATGCACATCGCGATTACTGGAAGCAGGTAAAAGCGCTTCTAGCTGGGCTGCGTGTCTGCGGATATTTATACGGGACGTTGGCCTGTCCCTGTCTCGCTTTATCTACCTCCCATCGTAGGGAAAAACGTTTCCCGGAAGACACCGGCTGAGATGTCTCTGGCCATGAGACGTTCGAACGATGAGACCATTCGCGTACCATTCGATCTACGATCGGGCCTCGAAGGATCAACCGTTCCCCTCATTGTTCTGTCCGCGGTTTGGCCTACTTCCAGATCGGCAACTTGCACTTCCGTTTAAAAGATGAAATACAGTGTCCTTTGTCGCCGCGTCTGGGGCTCGGCCAAACGCGTGTACTGCGTTCCAGATTCAACAACCAACTTCGACAGGCTTGGCTTATGAGTTCAAGTTCGTCGGAGATCGATCAATATTCAAGAACAAAGAATTAAAGGTGCGGTTCATCGGAGCATTATTATGCGTGACTTTGACTCTAATTCACTTTCGAAATGCAGTTGATTACATTTGCCATTTAGAAATCATTCTATCGATCCGAACCAACAATCTTGTCGTGGGTCTTGGATCAGTAGTCAGGGTATTTCTTTGTCAGACACGGCTAGATTTCCAGAGTGAAAATTTTGGAGAACGCTTTCGATAGATTCAAGAACGAACATCTGAAAGTATAGATCGAGTACCAGGTCTAAACGAACGTAGTCATCTTAGGGGAACACACACGACGAAATTCACGTCATCGATCTCTCGGAACGCGACATTGCAACCCGGTGAATACCAACGATCAGTCGAATAGAAGTAACAGGCAGTTATCTGTTTTTTTTCGACGATCAGAACAATGAGTTCGTCAACGGTAAGTAGGTTAAAAAGAACTCGTGTGCCGCAAGAGACACCGTCGTCTTTGAAATGCCGATCGAAAAATGCGAAGTGTTCGCTGGTGACGCGTGATTGCCGATTGTCGAGGAATGCATTATGCCGGATGAAACAGACTGCAATCTTATCTAGAGAAGTGCTCGAATCGATACTCGAAACGCGTCCACTTCGACTTCGTCCGACATCGTTGTTAATAAAAGCAGCTGAAACAAAAATCGACTGAGTGGGATTCAAGCAGACCAACTGCCCACTTGTATCATCTGTGCCACGGCCACTTCAATGACAGAGATTCGTATTCATACTATGAATTTCATATCACATGTTAAGGCCCCTGTAAATCTATCAGTTTTACGACACGAACCAAAAACTGTTCGTCGAATATATTTGAGTACAATTGTACTGGTCGATGTCGTGAATGTGAATTATTTTATTTAAATTCGCCTAGGGAAACGTAAGAACTCCTCTAGAGACAGAGGGGATCCAAGGGATCCAGGGATCAAGACACGGGGGTGAAATAATCCTCGGAGTCAAACGTAGTCAAACGCGATAGTCACCACCTAAGGGTTAAGATATGAAATATTGCGTCGATCCTGACGAGGGTAGATGGTTCTTTTGTACAATCAGTCAGCCCAGAAACGGACGTGTTGACGCAATCGTGGCTCGACACCATTTGGCCGACTTCCGTGGCTGCCTTCGTGTTGTTGACCACAATCATCCTCCACTCGACGCCCCGACTACGACGAAAAAAACGCGGTAAAACAGAATAGAAGAGAAAAAGCCCTCAAGGTTTGAATATTCAGTAGGCACATCCTGGTCGGCTACCACCTGACCTTCTTTCTGCCGGAAAAATCGGCACGTTCCGGCTCGTCTTCGAGACTTGCTGCGACTCCTCAAGCTCCTTTGACGAGCTGGCGACGAAACGACTTTTAATTAGTTCGTCGTGTACCGGAAGTAAAGGCGTCGAGTGCGGTCAACTTCACTTGGTCAATTTTGGCTTTCGGGGGACGAAGACCAAGTTACGGTCGGTCGATTTCTCTGTCGGTAAACCAAAGCCACATATTTCCCACCCTCTCGGAGCTTTATTGACTGCATCCATCGGTAGGTAACTCAGCTTTCGAGGGTAAGCTCTATACGAGTGTTACCACAGTCGAGGTATAGGAGTAGACCTTACCACAGACGAGATATACGAGTAGATCCGATGTATTTTTGGGGCCCATTTTTCTGGACCTCTAGAGCCCCATTACCATTTTTGATCTTTATTAATTTTGTTTTACGCCCTACAGAAATGTTGTCTAATACTTTTTTGTAGGTATCCATGATCTCTATTTCGGAAGTAAAGTTCAATGAAATACGTTCACTATTGTAGGAGTTATGATCGTTTGAAAATTGCGTTTTTTAATCCTCTAAATACTAATTCAATGCATAGTTTCTCTATTGACCACCATGCATGAAAGAGGGCGCTAAAATCACCTCCGCATGTTCAGGTCGGTATGGCAGATTGGGCCACGAAAATCCATAGGGTGTACGATCTATTCGTATTCCTCGTCTGTGGTATTACTTTATCTATGGTCGGTATTGTTTTTTCTCGAGAGAAAGTATCCCATGTTGGAAACATAATTTGTTTCTCTGTATGACCAGCCAGATGTTTTTATATAAGATTTTAAGCAGAAAATGTGCGATTCTAACTCGAAAGATGCTCGACAAATGAACATTCATCATTTGCAGGTAATACGAGTTTGTAAAGTTTCTTTCCATCCTTCGTTTGGCAACTCTGTATTATTAATCACACTGTATCTAAATTGCGGTAAAATTATCATTACGAAGATACGATACATAAAATTGAAAAATAAAAAATTGTCGCATAGTTGAAACTCTATTAAATAAAATTAGATTTTCCAACTGAATGGCGGTAGTCACAGAGATGAACTCCTGGTTAAAATTAAAAATGAAACTCACCTGGGTAATTGCAGTCGTGTTCGTCGCTTCCATCTTGACATTCCTCGATGAAGTTGCAACGCTGGGAGTCCAAAATGCACCTGGAGACGTCGCAAGCGAATTCCCCGGTACTGCAGCCTATAAAATGAAATCAATGTTTTCGTACCAACCGAACGAACAGCAAACCAATCGGCCGGATTGTTTCCTCTTTTACGTACAACGAACATGATGATGTTCACGAGGAGAAAATCTGAAATTAAATCCCCAGTGGTTTTCAAACTGCCAGCGATTTTCCCTTAAAACTATAATTGTAATTTGAAACTCAACCGGTGATTTTTCTCCTCGTGAAAAAAAAGGCGACAGAAACGATGAACATAGCATGCAATCTATGTACATATATACATTTAATATTAACAACATGCGAACCGTTAAGACACGTGAAACGTCCGATTCGAGTCGAACACAAACAACTTGTACCTGGATGGGGACAGCCCTCTTCGTCAGCACCGTCATCGCAATCTGGCGTACCGTCACATTGTTGCACGGAACAAATGTCACGACTTCCGTCACGACAGCGCACCGTGTCGTCTGCGCGACACTTGTTTAGTGCCGGTCTTAAAGTATTATCATCCGTATTATCATCTGATCCTTCGTCGATCCCCTCTTGTCTGAACAGCGTTTCAGTCACTAACTCAACATCTACGACATTTTCGTTAACCAGGACTATCGGTTATCTCGGACGAGTGCTACCAAGCGGTAGTTAGTGAGTAGATTATAAATTACAAACAAGAAGTGAAGAACAAAAATAAAACAAGTGAACAGACATACGTAGTGTTCGTCGAAAGTTAGAGCCGGTTGTTCATAGTACCAGCTCGTCTGATCTTCACGCAGTAGAAACAGACGCAACTGGACAGCCCGGAACAACCGACTCGACGCACAAGTAGATAAACTGTTCAATGCGAAACTGGGCATGCAGTGGAGTGGTAATTACATTGAACGGATGACTATTGTACAATGAATCGAGCGAAGACCAAGAGTTTCTGTATATTTTAGAATAACGCTCGAATACTTACGCGGTGTCGTTTCAGGACAGCCGATCTCATCGGAGGCGTCCTCGCACTGAGGGATGCCATCGCATCTGGAGTCTAATGGCACGCATGCACCGTTTCTACATAACAATTCGGTGGAGTCGCATTCCTGCTCGTTGCCCTCATCCCTGACTGATAGTGTGTTTCGCGTGTGTGATAGGTTTGGGTGGTGTCATCGTGTCGGAGGGAAAAAGTAACACAACATGAAAGGATAAACATAAAATCGTGGAACGTAAGAAAAGCTATGCAAAAAGAAATTGGTGCAATCGAGAGAACAGAGCTGGACCAGGTTGGATGTTCCCAGAAATCGAACAAAATTTGTCCGTCGTAATATACATATTTTGAAACTTGGAAGTTGCTCAAGATTAGAGAGTTTTATTATTTTGCTCCAACCTGACGCGACTCCATAAATCAAGAACTTTGTTTATCTCGTAATTAAGGGTCAAACGAAGAAAAAAATCGATCTCGACGTTGTAATTAAATTGTATATACTTGACATCGATTCTAAGATAACATTCCACGTGCGGCTACCTCTGACGACCGACTCATTCGTCGAAGGTTTTCATCGATTTCGCGGAAACCCAAATAGGCACGGACAAACGACGTCCATCGATCTTTCCTCGGCGAATGCGTTCGCATAAAAGTTCACGAATTGGGAATCAATGTCTGGAAACCCTCGGCGCGGAATCGATCATTTTCACATCGTCAGACGTCGAAAGAAGTTACCTGGGAACGCTCTGAAGGTGAGTTCGTCGGGATACACTTGGATGCTGCCCAAGGAATGATACTTCTGCAGGTGTTCGACGAGGATGTTCTTTACCTCCAGGTCGTTCGAGAACGACGTGCCAATGTCTAAAGTAACTTGCGACTTGAAGTTGTCGGGCGTCGGCCTGGGGAAGCCAGAAAATTGTTGTTATTCCTCGGTCAAGTACTAGCTGAGTCAGATTGATTCGACGCGTTACGCGATAATTCCTCTATTTTCGATCTATCGAGTTGACTCTAAATTTAAATATCGACTGAACAATTTAGAACGGAAGAAACTTGATGGCCTAAGCGCGTAGGAGGAGTCGATTCGATCGTTGTTTTGAAAAGCAATATACTCACGTTATCTTAACGACGTTGGCATGATGGCTCTCCTCGGGGATGTGATGGACGAATAACTCTTCGATGGCCTGCGTTAAATTGGCGCTCAGTTCCTTGTATTCCCGACTATTTCTGATCGTGTACTTGGGCTTGTACGGTTCACCGACTGTCAAGGTTATCCGGTAATATCCTACGAGATCATGGCTGGATTAGTAACGAACGATCGACGAGGGCTTGCATCTATTAACTAGACACTAGCGACTAGCAACTTCTTTTAGTCGTTTCCGACAAACGAGGTTGGCAACTTTGACTTTAAAAAAATTAATTAAAACCTGGAGTGTCTTAAAGTGTCTCGATGAACAATCACACCGCGTGTTACTCACTTCCGTAAGTTCTTGGTGGACCGAAAGGTAGTAGTGTCACTTCCGTGGCGCTGCCTTCAACCTCCCCAGACCCAGCCAAGTCCTCGTCGTCCGTGTTTCCAAACTTTGGTGGATCCCTACGACTCTCGGCGGCGTTACCGATCTCGTTGTTATGCTGGATACGGTACAAAGTTATTGGCTGGTCGCAGATAGAAAGTTTATTATCAAATCATTGACCTCTAACCTCGTCAGCTTCTTCCTTTTCCTCGCCGTTGTCGCGAGTCAGCCGCTTCAAATTAGCCAACTCCTTGTCGTTGGCCGCTCCAGGTTCTATGTCATCGTCGAGTTCGACCGGCGACTCATTTTGAAGCTCGTCCTTCGTTGCGTCCTCTTTTTGGCCTGCGAAGGAAGATGAAACGAATGAGGGCATAATTATTGGGCGAAGAAACACTATTCTTGTCGTTACATAGAACGATGGGAAGAGCTATACCTGGTGGCGTTTCGGTCGTGGTTGTCGCTGGGGCAAAAAAGTCTACCACGCTTCGCTTTATTCTATGGAGAAAGGACTCCTCTTGATGGATCACGATCGTAGGCGTTTCGTCGGGGGATTGTCTAACCTCCTGATCGAACACCAAGTCGTCATTCTGAAAATTACAAATAGGCCCGGTGAGCTTTAGGAATCCAATGGCAGATCTTCCTTTGATCGCGAAGCAACTCCGTAAATAAGCTGATTTAAAATTCTAGTCAAAATGACGGGATCGTCGTTTTCGAGATTTGGGAACAGAGACAATGGTTAATTGGAGAATTAATGTCCGATCCATTCTGGATCTCAATCATAATTTTAAACTTTGAAATTCAAATAGACAAGAGGGTTCGATGTCCTTGAGTAGAAACTAAAAACATCTCGATAATGAAACTTTCAGGAAGATTAACAGTCTTGAGCACCGAGCGATCGAAATCACGGATGCACCTTGAAGACATTTCACCGGAACGATCGTTACGAACGTCGAGCTTTATATAACCAAGTCCATGTGTGTGTTGTGAGTGTGTATCGTCGAGTACCGTCACGCGCCGCTCATAAAGAACCAATTCTCACCTAAACACGCGATATAAATTCAGGATCGGCGGGCCATTCTCGCGGCTTGCTCGTGATTCCGAAACTGGCCAGGATTCAAACGTCGCTGGCCAACGAGCTTCCCCCAAGATCAGAATAGAGGAGAGCAACACCGTCCACGGCGAAACCGACAAAATAAAGTATCGTTACGGTCGGGGAAATATCTGACGAGGTTATGCAAGAGAGCATCGATATTATGTTCCCGCGATGGGAATAACAAACCCGGTATTTCCTGGGACCGTCTACGTGACCCTAGCCGCGAATAAAAAGCACCAGAACGAATATAAAGCATCCTCTTCGGCTCGTTACGTCCCGCTACCCTAGTTCGATGATGAATCGAGAGGATCCCCGGACGAGGATGAACTCTCCATTTATATCTTCGACGACGAACGAATCTTCGAACCTGGTGGATCGCGTCGACCCGGTTCAGCGAACCCGACGGTTTCTGGTTAAAATTATTTAGCGTAATTAAAATTCGGACAGCAAATATAAATCAATCCGCGGCGCAAGGGAAAGAAAAGTATCACTTCCAGCGAACGCCATTGGAGAATTGCTTCCAAAAATAATATATTATTAATCCAGGCAATCTTATATGGACACGAATTAAGTAATATCTGATATAGAATTGCTTATAATCTGATTTTAATTGACTTTGTCACGTTGCACACCATCGTCTCGGTGTTACGTGAATCGAGAGGTCAAGCGTGTATATTAAAATGAACGTTATATCGGCCGAATCGTGCAAACAATTCCCACCCACGCAGGATATCCGTTCGCCGCCCAATCAGAGCCGGAAAAAATTTCATCCGCGCGAAATAGACCATCTGCCGGATCTCCCTAATAGCGGAAAGTGTTTGGTGTCGCGTTTCGCTGCAAAATAGTTCCGCGGCGCGTGCAGCGTGTCGCGGCACACGTGACCGGAAACGTCGACGCGGTTTTTTCTCTGCAGGAAACGGAGCCCCCGTGAAGTCGCGCTAATGAAGCTTAAATCGGCCCAGACGGGACGTATTATTACGTTTAAGGACTCGTTTGTTCGCGCGGTACCAATTTTCGAAAGGGGGTATCGCAGACATAACATTACGCAACCGAGAAACACGCTTCGCGAAAAATCGTGACGCGATGCTCGTTACAACACCAAAAGCTGGCTTTACGCGAAAACAAACGTGATGTTTCGCCAGCGTTCGTATCGCCGTGGTATTTCTATCGAAGATAACTTGAAGCACAAAAAAATTCTTTGGTACCAAAATATTTATTGGTTTGGAGGACGAGCTGAATTTAAAACGGTTCGTTTCTACTGGAGGAGCTCGAAGCGCGTCTATGGCCTCAAATATATTAACCAGTGCAACGAGGAAATCAATAACTAAATGCACACCGACGACGGGATTAAAAGGTCAGAAATCTACGTGCGTGGAAAAAAATCCAAATGTTTAAATTTTGCAAAGAAGTGGAAGGTTGAACATTAATCGAATACCATTAGATCTAGAGGCGCTGTATCGTTATCGAACAGAGGGGGATGAATCTTAATTCGAGATCGGTTCAAATTTCCGAGCGACGCGCGTAGATTTTGTTTACGAAATGTAACCCCGTTGCGTCGATAAGGCTTCTCCATTTTTATCTAAACTTCCATTCGTCCGCCGCGCGGCTGTCCTTTTTACAAAATCACGGAAGCGCAGACTCGGCCAGGCGCGATAAAACTGCACCGCGAACGGCCCGTTTCGGATCACGATAACGCGCAACACGCATCGTGCGCTCGACAAATTATTGAAAGCGTGCTATTTTCGTTTATGAAACGATTCAGTGACCTCATCGACGCCGAAACTTCTGGCCGAGAGCAACTGAAAGACCTACTTTAACCGGAAAAGGAGAACCGTTGTGTGCGCGCGGCTTTTCAACAAACTTGTTGAGAATTCCTTGCTATTCTGCTTGGGGGACTCCGAATAGGTCGCCCATGTTCCGTTTCTTTCATTTAAACGCGAATATACGATCGGATTACACCAGAGGGAACCTTCCGCGTCTAATTTAGGGTGTGTTTGTGACTCGTCAAAGGGGTCTAACAAGTAACTTGCAAGTGTTCCCGTTGCGTCGTGACTTAAGAATCCGTCTGGCGCAAACCATCGGCTTTCCTGTTGGGTGAAAACAGTTTCATAGAAATCGAGCACGCTTGTTACGATTCTTTTTAAGAAAAAAGGGTTTGACATCTTCGCCTCATCGACTGAATTATACCGTGTTAGAGAATCTACGAGTACCCGAAATCCTCGGAAATTACGAAAGATCCTTTGGAGACGCGAGTAAGGTGGTCAGCGTGCTCAGGTTTCTGGGGCATAAATCGCGGATACCGCCACGGTAACGCCGTGCCCCAAAGAAAAGACGAAGAATCAGTAGGGTAGGTAGGGGAGGGAGGTACGGAGGCACGAACGAGCTTCGAGACAAAACTTTGTTATTCCGGGCAAGTTTTACACGGGATTTCCCAGCTAAGTCCACTCTATGATCCTTTCACGACAACTACGTGCTCATACTTCGACAAAACACCGGCCCTGCGGTCCGAAATCCTTAAAATGCATGGGAAATACGTGTCGTCGCAGGTTAAGTGGCTGGGAAGAAATTCGTCCTCGGAACTTCGAGGCTTCCCGAGGACAAACTTGTACCAAACATCGAGCCTCCACCTCGTTCGGCTAGCCTTTCAGTCAAGTTTCGTTCGCGAGCCTTTAAGTCTTCGTAATTTGGCTGCTCGAGGACCTTGAATTTTTTAATTTTTTAATCGCCAAATAATACAGAAACATTATTTATACAGGAGATACAGGAAATTAAGGTTTTCACACGTGGGTGCACGTGGCGTCAAACGATCAGCTGACTGGGGACATAAGTGGATCGCACGATCATTTTGAGTCGGCCTGTATAATGTTCGCGTTGGTTTCTTACACGAAGAACAATCCATTGATGTGTTCCAAAGATTCGTATAATCTGATTAGCGGATGCTGGAAGCACGACGGATTTTATGAGCAGCCTATTTCTAGAAACTTCGAAGGAGGAAAGCTCGAAAGTCGAGCGAAAAAGGGGTCGATTAACAGAAGGAGGAGAAGGCAGGTAAATGGGGTCGTTAAACTCCGTGCAAAAATGAGTCCAGACCGATGACTCACCGTCGGAACTGGTCCTGAAAAATAAGTCCCGCGTCTGTGCCGTCTCAGCGTCGTTAAACCGTGCAGTTTGCGCGCACGTGTTGGTTGCATAACGAGCGAACCGCATATTCGAAGGCAACGAAACTTGCAAAGTTGCTTTATACGGTTTGGACCTGTTGGGCGTCCAAATTAACTTTCCTCCAAATGAGAATGGAACAGAATTTATCGACTGTTCCGACTGCGTTGTCGCGGCAGTCTTCGACCAGGAATTCGACAATCGTAATCTTAAGTAACAACGATCTTCATCGATAATCTCGAGAGAGTACACGAAGGATATCGCCATACTTGCGTCATCCCTCGTATCTGGATCAAAGTGTGTCGCAGATAATCGGATAGAATGACCGTGAGTCTATAATTAGCAAACCTATTGGGTAGACTTGTATTGAAGAAAAGCAAATACTCCAGTACTTGTTATTATGTAGCATTTTTAAGATCTACGTACGTTAAGAGTACACAATACAGCAATATATCATCAATATCTTACAGTGCTTCACTTCAAACCTTCGTTTACTTTCAACACAAACAAGTTATAAATATTAATTGCATCAAGGTGCAACATTATCTAGGGCATTGGTTTCTTTTCATCAACCACCTGTGATACGTGAGAAGAATTAAAAAATTCAAATACACAATCAAAGGTGGAGTACTCCAGACAGATTGTACCTAAGCTCAAAGTATCCCCGATGCTTCGAACGCCGACAGGAGGCTATTCTACCTTAGGTATACTAATCACCAAACATTTTTCAAAGTGGCTGTCTAGACCGGGCAGGTAAGAGGGGCACGTCTTTATTCGCGAATGCCCGTCATAATCACGGCCCATCGAGCCCCGAAGAAAGCCCTCAAAGGTCAAGATCTGGCACGTCGGTTCGAGAAGCGTCGAGGAAGAAATCCCCCAATTTGAGAGACTTCTCGGAGGCTTCGACTTAACGAAAATATACGTCGGAGGAGCACGTATGACAGGTCGGAGGAAGGCAGATGGCGCTGGTCTTGGAAGAAAAGAGGGAACCGACGCCACTGGCCGATCGTCCTTTGTCTTAAGCCGCGGTATATTAATGTGAAGAACATGCTACGCCGAAATAGGCTGCGAAAGGAGGGTGGGACGGTAGCTAGGCGCGGAAAAGAGGGCCGCCAGCGCACGGAATACTAAAAAGGAGCACACACGTCCGCCAAATCTTCCGGTGCGGTGGCCGCATAGGGGGCGCTAGTCTCGTTCGACCGCGCCTTTGCATTTTAACTGCCTCTCACAGAGAAACGACTCCTCCTTCGACCTCCGTGGACGAAAGAACTCCTCCGAACTCTCGACAGACTCTATCCGCTCCTCCGTGGAGGAGTCTTCTACAAGAATCGCCAAGTT